TCATGTGAATTAACCAGTATCGTCCTATTAAACCTATCTCACCTTCAGGCCTAGCATCTTCTAGTTGCCAAGCTTGCCCTATTTCTATGACATAAAAGGATAACCTTTACATGAAGACATGAGTAAGACTATTAACAGTGTTTGCCATGGACAATGAGAATAGAGCCACCTGGAAAGTAATGCTTAGTGTTTTTATCCCACTTTCAGCATATGAAGCCTCCAGCTTGATGGACTTGCAAGAGCCAAAGTGGTCTTGCTGTGTGGCTTTTCCCCTGTGGTTCAGGCCTATGGATGTGATACAGAGACTCAGCCTAGAGTCATGGAAGGGACTTTGTAACTGAGGAGGAGGATATGGAGCCAAGAGGGGGATGCCAATCAATGTAAGGAAGGTTCATGGCAATATGGTGTTGAAAGGAGAGCTAGCCAGGTAGGGAGAAAACAGTCCAGGCATTCATGGTTGTACTATGTTTCAGCCTTCCTTGGACTTGCAGGTTTGGCAGTTACCTGGTTACCTGACATATCTACCATGTGCATGTCCAGCCTATCCTTGAACACCCTCACCACTGGGGCTTCAACTACCTCTGTGGAAGCCCATGCCATACCCTAGAGGTCCTAACTGTCAGGAAGTTCTTCCCGGCATCCACCCTAAATCTTGGTTCCCTGACCTTTGCACCATTGGAACACATCCTGCCCTCCACTGCAGGGGAAAATAGGTCATGATCCACCCCTGTGTGGCACCCCCTCACGATAGTCCCCTGAGTGCTATCAGGGGACTCAGTTCAGCATATGGGCTGAGGAATAAGGGGTGCTGTGATGTAAAAGACTTCTCTTTCTCAAGGCTTCCTGTTCACCTGACTATTGGAGGAGAGCATGAAGATGATTGTGAATGTGATGCTGAGGAATCCATTTGGGGGGTGGGAATCTGTTGGATTCCCTGGGCTTGGTTCCCTGGATTCCAGGCTGTTTTCTTGTGGGTGTGAGCCTGACTTTCTGCCAAGCTCACTGAGCATTCACATAGGTCCATGCCAGGAAGTGAGCTGAAGCAAACAGCATCTCTCTTCCATGTTCATAACTTACAGCCTTTGCACATTCTGAGGAATAAGGCTCCTGGTTCCACAAGTAGAATTCTGCAAGCTTTCACAGACTTCGTCCCAGCTCATTTCCTAAGCAAGGCTGAGCACAAGAAATCCAATGAACAGAACAGGCTAGATTCCAGGGAGGATTGTCACAACGCTCCACTGAGGTTCCTGGCTGTTAGTTTTGAGGGTTGTCAATATTCATGGGAGGGCACCTTGTCTGGGGCACCTCAGGATTTCATGGTCTATGACAATCATGGGACTGTTCCAAGATACAACTGGCCCAACATATGTAGCAAAGCATGCTCTAGACCTGTTTTATTTCCCCAGTCCAAGCATGGAGATGGTGATCTGAAGGTAGTGGGCTTCAGTTCAGCCCCTCTGTCATGAACAGATCATTGCCCACTGAAGTTTAGACTCAGTTTTTCCTCTCTGCAAGGTTAGGGAACCTATCAAGATGGTCCCAGAAGCCAATGGAGCCATATGGTTTCTGGCTTATGAGGCTAACTGAAGCCCTGATCATTTGACAAGATTGTTCCTGCACATCTATAAGAGCTCATACAGGTCTATGGTATACTTTGGAGCTGAGAGTGATGAAACAAAACAAGAAACAGCTGGAGTGCAGATGGGGAAAAATCTTCATATCAAACCCAACTTGCAATCAGACCCTAGTATATACCTATAATCAGGTATATTCAGAAAGCCGTGATAGTGGCAAAGAGCCCATCTTGCTAACTTTATTCAATCTTCAATCTGCTGAGCTTCTAGTGGTCATCCAGGACTTTACAGGTTGCCTTTAAGCACATTGTAGAACCATCTAAGGTGCATTGTAACATATTTGCTAGGCCGTTCCAGGACAAAAACACTTACTTCCACTGGGGCGCATAGACATTATAGCAGGTGAATTTTGTGAGGTACCCAGAGCACAACCTAGTCCAGTTTTCTTGAGTCATTTATTACTTATTAAATTTGTACCCCACCCATTAGCCTGGATGACTGACTGGGCAGAATGAGTTACAGTTGGCACAGCTGAAGGATGCTGACACAGTGCTTGGCCAAGTTTGTGCAGGCACTTCCATACTGGATCCTTGCCCATTCTGGCTTCTAAAAATTGGCAGGGAGAGAACAGCCAGATGGGCTAGAGAAGTGATTATGCCTCCTTATAAAAGGGAGTAGTTCTCTGACATATGGAAAGAGGCAGAAATGAGGCCACTCCTGAAAATATCCTCTCCGAACCCAGAAGATTTCAACACATTTAGACCAATTACCAATATTCATTTCCTGGGCAAGGTGCCCACCCATTTCCGGACACTCCTGGATGAGACTAAGCATCAGCATGGGGTTCATGCTGGGTTTGGGCATGGAAACAGCATTTGCTGCCCTGCAGGATGGTCTGCCAGAAGAAAAACAGTGGGAGTACAGCTTGTTGATACTGCTGGATCACTGGAGTTGCTGATGCTGTTAACGGTTAATTCTTTTTGGAATCACTATCTGAGCTGGGATTCTGCACTGCAGTGGGAGATGCTGCACTCAATGACCAGTTCGGGGAATACTGCTCATTTCCATCATGGGATTCTTCAGGACTAAGTATTATCCCCAACAACACTCAACATCTACATGAAACTGCTGAGAAGGGTCATCCTGGGCCTTGCAGTGCACTGCCATTAGTATGCTGATGACATACAGCTTTATTTCTATTTTTCATCGCCATCAGGTGAGGCAGTAGTTGTGCTAAATTGGCGCCTACCTGTGACAATGGAGAAGATGAAGGGTAATAAATGTAATCTCAATCCATATAAGACTGACATGCCATTAGTGGGTGGTTTTCTAACTAGAGGGAGGGTGTCTAATGTGTTTTGGATGTGACTGCACTCCCATGAAGGACTGGGTTTGTAGTTTGGGGATCCTCCTGGAGACATCTTTGTCTTTTGAGGCTCAGGTTGCCTGAATAGCATAGAGTGCCTTCTACCAGCTTCCCTTAGTAGCCTAGCTATGCCCTTATTTGAAGAGGAATAATTTGGTTTCAATAATCTATACTATAGTATTCTCCATGTTAGACTATTACAATGTACTCCATGTGGGGCTGCCTTTGAAGACTGTTCAGAAGCTGCAGCACCTACCGAACTAAAAAGGGGGACCAAGTCTGAACACACAAGATCAATTCTGGCACACTTGCACTGGCTGGCTGTGTGCTTTCAAGACTGATTAAAGGTGCTCATTTTAACCCACAAAACCCTACACAGCTTGGAATACTTGATGGAATGACTCTCCCAATTTGAAGTATCCAGGACTATGCTCCACCTCTGAGGTCTTCCTCTGAGTGCCAACTTGAAGGGAGGCTTGAGGGCAGCAAGATGGGAAATGGCCTTCTCTATTATTTCACCTATGGAATGACCTCCCTAATGAGGCATATTTGGTACCAATACTGTCATTTTTTTGTTACCAAATAAAGACCACCTTCCATTTTAGGCATATAATGGTATATGATGGGTCATGCCAGCTGGTACTATTTTTATAGACATTAGTTTAACTGTTTAAATTGCTTTATATTTTGTATGCTAGAATGTTTACGCAGCTTTTTTCTATGTCTGTAGTTTATACAATTTTTATTATTTTATCTGTTTTGTAAAATGCACTGAACTGCTCAGAGAGCTTCAGCTTTTGGGCCGAACAGAAATGAAATAAAATACATTTGTCCTAAATTTATTTTTGAACGTTTATCACTTTTTAAGATTGATCGTCACCCAGAATGATCATCTGCTTTGAAAATAAATGCGATCTGTTGAAATAAAAATAGGATCTGAATGTAAACAGATCAACATGATGAAAACAACTGAGTCTGTGAACTAAGTAAAATATGGATGGACAGGGAGCATTAATTTCATCAAGTTTAATTCACACATACCTATGAAGCCATAAATTATATCCTCCAATTCCTTGTATTACTGGATTTTGGTCCATTTGAGATGCTTAGTAAGTTCAAAGTAAGCAAGCCTCAAAGGCTAAAAGGGTACTGCAGAGCTCAACTTAAGGAAATACTGATTAAAAGAACAGAACTCACACTTTGAAAGATCAGAGTGCTTTAAAATGCATCACCATAATTCCAATTCAAAACAATACATTATGGAGTAAAAAGTAAGTTTAGGAGTTTTTAAATTAGTTCAATGGATATGGTGCTCCCAAATATATTTTCTGTATCATATTCCTTCAGTGCTACCCACAGACACTTCCCACACACAAGCATGTATTGGCTATTCTAGAAGGAAAGCAGGGTGGAATCCAAATAATCGCAACACTCCACACAGCCATTTGTATATATACCTGCCTATATTCTGTTCACCGAGAGCGTGTTGGCAATGCATTTATTTTTGCACATGCGGCAAGCCTCCTGCTTTTCTTTGCTGTTGCATTGTTAAGCATGTTAAAACAGGACATTGTGAAGCAGCTGATTTTAAAGGCATATGCGGAAGGCATGCAAAAAATGAGACATAAAACTATCAAACCAGTGTTGAGAAATGCTTCACCTTATGAGATGGTGATCAGTTTTGTTTTTCAAAATTAAAAGATTCTAAATATTTAATATGAACACTATAGGAATTTGTTTCAGAAACATGGTTTTTGCTCAAGGTTTAATCCCAAGTAAATGAGAGAAGAGATTCACATAATTATATGGACTAAAGGAGCTTGTCAGTTTGTCCAGTTCCTTGTCCTAAGGGCTGGATTCTTTACAAAAGAACCAAATCCTACACAGTGAAACCAATCCCTGTAACAAATAATGCAATCCCATTCTTGTTGGCCTACCCTTTAAATCTTATGTTTTATACAGAAACTTTAAATGGTAAAAATGTACAAAAGAAAAAAGTAACACATGCACACATTTAGAGAGTTACTAAGCTAAATTATGAGATCCTTATCCACTCTCACCTTCTCGCACAGCCACCTCGGGCTCACTTTTCTGTGAGATGGTCAGTGCCTCCACTGGCTCTTCCTTTGCTGGGAGAGGTGGAGGAGAAGTACCTTTAGCAACATGTTGAGTAATCTGGGTCTTGCCAATGACAGGTGGCTGAATTCTAACTGCAGGGTGATGATATAGCTTGTTTCTGTGAGAGCCAGAAACCGTATAGCCCATTCCACCAGGGCAGATTTCCTTAAAAGCAGCTAGATTTGGGATGGGAAAACATTCCTTTTAAGAGTCTAAAGTGCAATATTTTTGACACACTGGAAAATATAATGAAGAAAATCTCTTGACATCAAGAACATTTCTGCAATTTTATCTGTTTTACATGTAATCCAATATAAAAGAATACATGAGAACATTACTGTATAAGTTTCCCTTAGAAAAAGATCTGCCTTAAGATTAAACCACTTTACTCAGTTTTTAAATATAATACCAAACTAAGATCACAGAATTGAAATTAAACTATGGATGCTTTTGGATTTAATACTTAGCTATGCCAGCTTTGAATGAATAAGCCTCAGTCTTTCACACTGCACTTTTGACATAATCATGAGTAGGAGGCTGGAAATTTTGACTTTTAAAAGAATCAGAATTCCTTATTACTTTCAAATTTGGGGGAATGATAGTAATTTAAAGGAGAGGAAGGTAACCTCATTCTCTTTAAATGTTTTTTTCAGCATGAATTGTAGAAGCCTCAGTCAGCATAGCCAATTGTCAGGAATTAATTAATATAGTCCAAAACATCTTGAGCATACCTATTCCTGATTTAAAGTATGGCTAGTTCAAACAAGCAAAGAGCAAGATGTGGTTTATGAATCAGGCATGGTCACTGACCATATTTTAATTAACCAGAGTTCAGACTTAAGGCGATTAATTTAAAATTGCAAGTGGATGCTTCCATTCTTCTCCTTGCAGCCACCCCAGAAGAGAGGAGACAACTATGTAAGCCCAAGACTCTTTCATATAATTGAAGTAATAGATTAATGTAATATGAAACTAAGCCATTAGTTTTAGATCTAATGAATGGAGCTATCATCTCCATTTTGCTGTTCTCAGTATAATGCAGAAAGACTAGAATTCATTCCCTCTTCAGGCTCCAGAGGATAAAGCACTAACATCATATAAAGTCATTCTAGATCTAGTTTAACAATTCTGCTTTACTAGTCACTGTTCAAGACCATATGCAAATTTCCTCACCTTAAATAAAGAACCTAGGGCCAAAGGTCATCTTATACTGATTTTTGTACAGCTTCTTCCCCATCCCCGTCACTGGAGACAGCAGTCAGGAAGAGAGAGGATGGGAAGGAATGGTATTAAACTTTTCCTGATGACCATTTTCCCTCTCAAATTTTGGTATTTGCATACAGAACTGAAGTCATAGTTAGATGGCTCTAAATTATATTTCTCCTTTAGTTGCAATTCATGTTTTAGAACTCTTTGATATTCTTTGAAAACATTCAGCATCCTATCCTCCATTCTTTAAGATGATATCAAGAATGTGACCCAAAATTAAGTGTATGAAATCTAACCATGCCATATCTTTCCAAGGATTTTGGATCAGACCCATGAAAAGTTTTCGAAGTTGTCCACATATACTAAGAACATTCTTGATTAATATGGACATTGGGCATTTTGAAAGAGGTGTTTTCAACTGCAAACACCAAGACCAATTTCAATGTCTAAACATCTATTAGCATATACCTTTTAGTTTATTCATACTCATGTGATATGAAACATGCACTAAGAAACATTACTCAATAAATGGGGAATATAACTGAACTTGAAAATAGTTCACTACAATCCTTGTCTGTGTTTAAACTGGTTTTAATATGGACTGATACACTCAACACAGTGCTATAGGAAGTTATGTAGGATACATTAGGTTAGCCTATATGCAGTGTACACTATTGCCAGTGCAAGTATATGCTTTTGCTGGGAACCTCTTACCTGTTCCTGGAAGGGGACATTTCTCACAGTGGGGGCCCCAGGCCTTGCCAACACTGCAACAGCAGAGCTGCTTGCTGAGCTGAACAGAGAGAGGGTGCATACACTGCTTTCCTGCACTGACAAACCGGTAGCAGGGCCCTTTCTCTTCAGTGACCATGGAATTATCAGCTGCAGCAAAAAGGGAAGGAGGACGCTAGAGTTTACATGAGAAACAAAACAGAGACACACCATAGGAGTTCCATCACCAGATTAAAAATGGATCATACTTCAATTTGATATCATTAGAAACAAAGATGTTGATGTCTCAGGATAAAAATATTTCTTGTTTATTACCACCTGTGTCGGAAATCAAAGTAATGCAACACAAAAATAAACAAGGCCATATTATTTAGGAATAAAAGCCAGTGTTCAAATTAGATGCTGCCATGCTCCAACAACACAGAATTAGAAGATAGCCTTCCTTCCCATGCAGAAGCACTGAAGCAGAAGCTTGAAGCAGGTGAACAGCAAAAATACAGAACACTGAACACACATTCACTCCCAACACTCAACCAATAATGCTATGTCATATGGGACTGCAAGATTCCCCCCTCAGTTTGAGAAGGTCTGGTCAAGGCAAGGTAATTTTAGATCACTGAGCCAATTCCATTCTTTATAGTCATGACTACTCAATCAAAGCAGGAATTTACAATGCAAAAACCTGTATGAATAGAACTAATCACATCAAAATACATCAAACAGCAACTAACAACTAGCACCCTTCCCTTCCCTGCTGTTCCTTCTCTGCTAGTCTTCTCAATTTCATGTGATGAAATACCCTGTTGAAATTTTAAATTCTCTTAGTTAATAAAATAAATACTATTTTTTAACACAGCTCATATCGAGTCATTACATGGAAGTAACACAAGGTTAGACTATATATACCAGTTTTGCTTAAATAATAAGAATTGCCTTGGTGGAACAAGAAATTTTCATTATGGCGAAGGAAGGACAAAATAGTTCAAGGATGTATCTGGCTAGCAGAAATATCAAATGAAAAATGGCATATGTCAGACTAGCACAACTTGTGTTTCTCAACAGGCTTGACTTAGTCCTTAAGCTACATATAGTGGCTACCAGGGATTTAACAAACCTGTTCTTCCAGTCTATTTGGGGTTACAAAACAAGAGAGTTGCCAAGAACCTGGTCAGGCACAATACAAGGTTTCATACAGTTTGCTCGGTTAACAAATTGTGCAGATCTGACATGTTTTGATTATTCAAGGATAAGACTACTCAATCCTGAATCTCAAGACCTTTAACTAAGTAATGGTGAGCTATTCGTTTTTTAAAAGCAATTTAAAATCTCAGTATTGAGCAAGTTTATCAAGGGTTGTAGAAATCAACCTGTACATGCCCCATTTAAACGAACGGAAGTTGCACAGCAGCAGTGATTGGTGGATTTCTTTCATACATCATCTATTAAGTCATATAAAATACGCAGGATACTAAAGAAAGAATTGTTGCTATGCCCTTTCTTCCATCTGATACATAAACAACCTTCATTATCTTTTAAAATCCCATAAATGGCCATCAAACCTAGAAATAATACAGTTTTGCTTCTCTGAGTTTTCTCAAAAATAAAATATTATAACAGTTAATTATTATTGCTGTTAGTATTACCAATCATCATTATGATTACTCTGCTGCAGAAAAGGCTTAAAACAAAATAAGCTCCCCACCTAGTTGCCATAGTAACACAAACACAGGAAGTCACAATTTAAACTTGGATCAATTTATTGCAAGAGGCTTTCAAATGCTAAGTGCAGTTTCTGGATCAGGTATAGAAACCAAATACAAAATTTAAGTGCAATGAAAAACAGAACAAAGAAATGCATGTGTATTTTCCCACAACAACCTGAGCTCATCCCTCCCCATTCTTTGCTTTCAGAACAAGGGAATCTAGGAAAAAGAAGAGGTGATATTACAAGCTACTGGACGTCAAGAACGTTTAGGACTCTTTTCTCAGTGGGATGACAACAGGTATTTCCACATGGTGCCATATCATGCTATTTGGGGCTATGGGGATATGGTTATTCGAACGAAAAACTGTGGCCGTCCCTAGTTTATCATCTAGGTTAAAAAATGCTTCTAATAAGGAATAGAATATGGATGTTGGGGTGGAATAAAGGTATGGGATTAAATAGGTTAGTTCTTACACATCTTGATTCCTCAGAAGCTGCAATCCTTAAATTCATGCATCTGGGAGTAGCATCACTGCACTCAATGTGACTTACTTCAGAACAGTTCTGTGTAGGACTGGGCTATAAATCCTCTAACTGGTTTCAATTTTTGGCACTTTAAAGGAGGACATACCCTTAACTATACAATAACATGGGAGAAAAATATGTTAACAACCAAATGTTACATTTTGATCTAGCTAAACATAGGCATCTAGAGCATCTTGAGTTCTGGAACCCCTCTGAAAGGTGAGTAAGCCTACATCCCCATGCATCCAAAAGTTAATATATTTTTCAAAATGTTGCTCCTAATTGGAACCTGCCAATTCTTCTGACATATCAGTTCAAAGTGACTAGAGGAGAGATATAGCCTCTGCATGTTCTTCCAATTGGCTGGCTAGACATCAGCAATGGAGCTTAATGTACATTAGGCAAAGCCTGACTCCATTAAGGAGATGGCTTGTATTGACCTCAGATTCCCACATATATATTAAATTCTCTCATTCTAGCTGGTTCTTGCACCATCTAAACAGGAAACCAAATTGTGATTTCTCAGACCATCTTCTATGCTAATTTTGCATTTATTCTGAGACCCAAGATTCAAGATGCTACTGAAGACTGACTGTAATGATTTTTATTTGAAATTCTGTATCATTGCTGTCCTCCCTTGTTATTTCTCTACCTTCTTTTTCTTATATATTTGGGTGTTTGTGTTGTTTTAAAAACATAATCTCTGATTAAAACTTTCAACACATGCACAGTTGTTCTGATATTCACAAGACCTTCTTAAGTTGGCTGCATTTGCACATAACAGATATATTATTTTCAGGCTGGTCTTGTCAGGTGCCTCTTTTTCAGGGTGGACCAAAGTGCAAACTAGAGAAGGGTACTTCATTGTTCTGGATTCAGACATCATGAGCAGCCTTTCTTACCAACAAACCAGACATCATAAGTCAATACCAAGACACAAAAAAACCCTTTTTTGAGGTTTGTAGTTAACAAACCATGGTTTGCCAGGGTGGCTTTGGATACAACAGCAAGACAGATTTTAACAAAACACACCACAGCTTACCATTACATGTGAAATAGCCTGTTTTGTGTTTTCTGGGTACTGGGATAAGATGTTTCGGAGAATCTTCTTTGCATTTTTTCCCCTTGAGCTGTGGTGCTAGGGCTTAGCAATAGGGCTTAGAATTTCCTTGCACAATTAGATAGCTGGGAACGTTAAGGTGAGGATCAGTTTGTGGTGGTGGCCCATAAGTGATATTTTTTGGGGGGGGGGACTCAAAACAAAAGGATCATCAATAGCCATATGATGGACAGGCTAAGACATAAATTAATCAACATTTTTTTTAGTATAACTTTACAGAATATTTGTTATAGTCTATTGTTCTATTGATTTCAGAAGCCAGATGGCAGCAGCCTTACATCACTTGCAAAAAGAAATATGTAGTGTCTATGTAGTGTTTTTTGCAGGTGCTAGGATATCACTGTTCTCTCAGCTACTTCTACCATTCTCAATCAATTTAAGATTCTTTATTTTCATTTGTGCATTGGTTTCTAAGACTGTAAAGTAATTTTTAGTCTTTGCTAATCAATTATCCTGTATTTTCTTTCTTTTGCTATTTTTTCTGTCTGTCTGTCTTTCTTTCTCTTTTCTGCTTAATACTCATTTTATTTCCACCACTTGATTCAGCCAAATGCTCGCACTTAACCAAAGTTCTGAAGGAAATTGCTGCTTAGCCCACTTGGGAATCATTATACATCAAGCATCTTGCTCCTGGTTCCGCCTCCCCAGATTCAAGCAAAAGCCAATTCAGTGCTTATTTTTTCTCCACAAAAGAAGTTCCAACCATAGAATAATAGAATAGTAGAGTTGGAAGGGGTGAGAAGGCCACTGGGTCCAACCCTGTATTGTACGACACTAAGTTACACCATCCCATTCAGATGACTGTCCAGATGTTTTTTTAATATTTCCAGCGGGAGAGAGTCCACAACTTCCCCAAGTAATAAGTTCCATTGCCATACTGCTCCAACTGTGAGGAAATTCTTCCTGGTGTCTAGTCTAAATCTGGTTTCTTTTAACTTAAGTCCATTATTCCTGCACTCTGGAATGAAGGAATGAGAGATCTTGCCCTTCCTTTTTGTGACAGCTTTTCAGGCACTAATGAGTACTAATGTATCACCCCTCAGTCTTCTCTTCTTGAGGCTGAACATGCTTAGTTCTTTAATTCTTTCCTCATAGGGCTTTGCCTCCAGTCCCTGAATCATCTTTGTCGCACCCCTCTGTGCCCTTTCTAGCTTTTCTGTTTCTTTCTTAAACTTAGGGGCCCAGAACAAGACACAGTACTCCAGGTGAGGTCTGACTAGTGTTGAGTATGGGAGAACTTGTACTTAGCTTGCCTTGTAAATGATAATTTTTGTGGCTACATCACATTGTTGGTTCTTATTTAGCATGTGATCTACAACAACCCCAATATCCTTCTCATTTGCAGGATTGTTGAGCAAAGGACTCCCTATTTTGTAGCAATGCATTTGGTTTCTCATTCCTAAGTGCAGGACTTGGCATTTGTCCCTACTGAATTTCATTCTATTCTCTGCCCAATGTTCTAACCTATCAAGATCACCCTGTATCTTATTTCAGTCTTCCAGGGTATTTGCTACTCCACCCAGCATTGTGTCATCTGTAAATTTCCCCCCCCCCCCCCCGGACTTCCTCATCTAAAACATTAACTAAAAAGTTGAAGAGTACTGGTTCCAGGAGAGAACCCTGTGGCATCCTACTTGTCACCTCTTCCCAATTTGAGAATGTGCCACTGATGAGCACTCTTTCAGTCCAATTTTGAAGCCAATTATGGATCCATCTAATCCATAAAGTCTAGATAATGTCCACAACATTCCCATTTGGGAAGCTATCTGGTCAAAAAATGAAATCAGAGTAGTCTGACCGGATTTATTCTTGAGAAATCCCTGCTGGCTTCTAGTAATTACTGCATTGTCTTCAAGATCTTTGCAGACTGTTTTATAATTTGTGCTAGAATTTTTGTATGCGTTATTGAGCATGTATTTGTATTGCCAAAATAAAGAAACTGAATGATCAAAGATGTGAATGACCAGCTGCAATTTCCATGATTGTGACAGATGGAAAAAAGCACCAGTACAATGGAAATACCGATCAGTGATAACTTTGTGCACATTTGATATTTATTCATGCAAATATATGTCTGAGGTGGTTGGAATTCAGTGCATAGGAAAACATTGGGAACAATTCACCTGTTAATTCCCTCCCCACTTTATAAGTTTATTTGTCCTGCTGCATGTGGCTACATAAGGAATAATTCTCAAAGAACAAGTGTAAGTACATAGGACTTGATAATATTATTTATTTATTTATTTATTTAGGAGACTTCTATGCCGCCTCATTTGCCGACGCCTCGGGGCGGCTCACAACCATAAATAAACTTCAAAATAGTATAAATTAACAATATAAATTAACAATATAAATTAAGTTGCCCTGGCCAAAGAATAAAATGAATAAATAATATTAACACTTAAAATAACATTTGAATAAAAAGGTCTTCGCCTGGCTCCGAAAAACAAATAACGATGGTGCCAGGCAGACCTCTCTGGAGAGCGCATTCCATAGATTGGGCGCCTGTTGATGATGGAAGATAACTAGGGAAACCCAGCATTTCCTTAACTGACAAAGGCAAAGTTAATAATATTTAGCATTCGGCTCCATCCAAACTGGGATTCAGGCTGTGATTATCTCGGGTGCTTACTTGGACAGCATACCTGTGAAGTTCTGCGTATGAGAGATGAGTCTTCTGTTTCTCACTTTAAAAGATGTTCATAGTTCTGTGCACACTTATCTAGGAAGCTGAACTGAACATAGCTGGCCCTATTTCTGAGCAAACACATGTATATTTATACTGCAAATGTGCAGCATTTGGCATTGGCCATATCTACAGTAGAAGAATAATTTAAAATAGCAGTCAGATCAGCAATAATGGCTAATCACTAACATCCACCTCATATGAATAGCTGAGCTAGAAAAGATTTTGTGTATCTTGTTGAATCTATGAATGTGAACGTGCTGACAAAAAGTTTAAGGAATGTAAGGGTCAGAAATACATGAGAACATAGTTAAATAGTTCAATAGACTGGACTTTATTTTCATTCATCAGACCCTGTTGAAAATCTGTGGGCTGAATTAGCCAACTAAAAGGAGAAGATAAAATACATTTCACATAGTGACTTTAGAGTTAGAAGGAACAATATGGCTTTTTTGAAGCCTTTGTGCCAGTGTATTCACTGAAATGCATTTATTTGTGTCATGTTTCAGGAAATAGGCTTTATGACTCATTTGTTGCACAATTCTAATTTAAAAGGACAGCTTTCCATTAAAGAATTAAAGTAATATTAAATGGTGAATGGTGAAAGTTCTCACAATTAGAATCACAACTGCAAAAACATTTATAACAGGGATTAACTTCCCTCCATTATGTGCTACAGGAGAAAAGTACAAACACACACACACAACTAAAAGTCATTTATTGTTTCTGTTACTTACGAATGCATCTGGAAAAAGTAGGGTCTGGCACAAATCCCATTTTGCAGGTACACCTATAGCTGCCCATGGTATTCAAACACTCACCATTAGGGCATACCCCTTGCAACTGGCATTCATTAATGTCTGAAAGGAAACACAACTGGTGTCAGTTATAAAATTGATCAATATAAGAAACTCCATATAAGCAACTTTTTGTAAGCACCTAACACTAGACATTAGGCTGTATACGTATTATGTGTATAATCTGTATATACTTTGTGCCCACTTCTTGTGGGAGTGGATGATTTTTCAATAGAAAACACAAATGTTTCTGAGTCTGCTCCTTCTTCTAAGGGTTTACTCTTTTTTCTCCCCAAAAAGGGAACACTAACACACATCACTTTCTGAGACAGAAAATCCATTTTCGCCCTCTTGGTGGTTAAAAATATTCTATAAGGTAAATAATATAAGCCAGAGATCACCCCTTCTTGTCTGCTCCGTTAGATGACCTAATCCATATCAGGATTCAAGTATGTTGTTACTGACTGGGTGAAGTGAGCTTTGAATGTATTTAAAGCAATAGTCCCAACGTAGTTTCATTGAGTTCCAGATGGCATGCAACAAAGGCCAACATTTACTGTTGCCCACATACCAGTGGGACCTATTTATGCCATAACACAGGAACCTTGGAAATGAGCCAAACACTTGTTTACGGAAAGGAACAGGTAGGTAGAAGTTGTAGAAGAGAGTGCTGCTGCCCTGTCCTGTTCTGGAAACTAGAGTTTTGACTTATTTCCAGGGCTGTTCTAGGAAGGGCTGGGTTCTTTTTGCACTGGTGGGGAGTGGGGGGCTACGGGTGCAATAATGGTTCCTCCTTGCTGTTTTTCCCTTTTCTCCTTGAGACTGTCCACTTTCCCTTTCATCCTTCATGATTCTGCAAAGCTCTTGCCACAAACTCTTAGTTTTCATTCCCTGTTGAACCTGAGAACAAACATATGAAACTGAAATAAATGCATATTATTTCTCCAGCCTCTACCACCCTCCCTAAATTCTCTTGTCCTTCCTATGTCTAATGTATACTGCATTGTCATTGCAAAATACTATGCATGCTGGTTATTACAAAAAGAGTAATAATAATAGCTTAGCAGCTGACAGTATTCTAAGTGCTACACATCTATTATTTACATAAGATCTGTAAAGTATTCAGTAATCTTATCTGCATATTATAGATTTGTATCTCAAAGGTAAGCGTATTCCCTGAGATCAAAGAGCAGCAAATAAAATAATAAAATAAGTCAGTTTGTGGATTATAGCTTAACATCTGAAAAATCAACAGTAAAGCTATTCTCTTTTGTTGTTACTGCATATTTGTCCACTTACATTATACTTTTCAACAGGAATATTCAAGATGCTTTTAACAATCAAGCTTAACCACTATTTTCTAAGTTTGTAAATCCATCTTCTTCTGGTTTGCATTACATTTATGAAGATGAGTTTATGCAAAGCCTGACAGTCAGTTCCAAAGCATGAACTTGAGGGATGGGAGAATACGATACATCAAAGACTTGGCAAAGCAGTTTTTTGATGGTCTGGAAAGAAGTAGATTCAGAAGTGCTTTCAAGGACAGCAATTTTCCCAAACTAGGAAGGGATACAGTGCATTTCTCCAGTGCTGTATTGGGTTCATTTAACAGTGGGTGGTCTCCAATAAAACATTCCTATACAGTGGGAAAATTTCTCCAATATAGCTGGATATTATGATTTGAAATAGCAACTTTGAAAGTATTGTATGCTATGAGGAGCCCACAAACCTTTTAGCTTTATCAGTGTAGCCACTTCAACCTGATCAAATTCTAATTGCTCTGAGATATAACATCACAGTGTGTAACTATCCTTGGCCTAGTTCAAACATTAACCCAAGAAGAACATTCTGTCTCCACAAAGATTAGGCATATTTGCTCCTGGCCATGCTCATAACATAATATGCAACTCAGGCGAGAAGGAGATCTGCAATTCACCTAGTCTCTCTCTCTCTGTGTGTGTGTGTGTGTGTGTGTGTTGTCCTAATGTCATATTCACCTAATGTGACTACGTGTAATGTGTGCATGCGTATTGTCCACTTCACACATAACATGTGAATCCATCTTCAGTCACAAGAATAGGATCTTTTACAGATAAGTGTCTGAATCAGTTCACTGTGTCAAGAGGTTGCACAGGGAATACCATCACACCTATGGGTCACACAGAACAACTGAGGTAGGAATAGGAATCCTGTAGAGGTGTGCCAACAATACAGCTTTAGTACATAAGCTGGCAAATCCCTAAAGCTAAGGAGACCAAGGCAGTGTGCCCGTAGTACAACTACTACAGAATAAAGTCCTCTTCCGAATGCCCTCCCCTGGTGAGATCAAAGAGGAAAGGGCCAGGAGGAGGGCATTCTCAGCTATAGTTCCTAGAATCTGGAATTCACTCCTCAGGGATATACAGCTGGCACCAACTCTTCTTTCTTTAAGACACTAGGTGGAAACTTTTTTTATTTAAACAAGCTTTTGGTTAATTAATTAAATTTAATATTTTATATTTTGTTATGGATTATTTATTTTAATTTTGGTTAATTTATTGGCTGTGCTTATTGGTTTATGTACATATATTTTATTTTGTAATGTTATTTACTATTATATTGTTTTATCTATTTTATTGGATTATCAATTGTTTTACTGTATTTTATCAATGTTTTTATGCTGTTTAGCATTTGTAACCCGCCCAGAAAACCATTAGGTTATAAGGAGGCATAGAAAGGAAATGAACAAACAAACAAACATGCTAATGGCATTGGAGGAATATTGGACCATCATTTCAAACTGGAACAGGAACAAGACAGGCACAACTATAGTAGCCCTTCCTTAAAGATAATTTGTTTTCCAAAGAGCAGATTCCAAGCTGCAGAAGGAAATACCTGGAAACATGTTGGAAGCTCACAAACATTGCTAACATGCCAATGAGAAGTGCCTGGTGGATCAGACCAAAGTTCTACCCAATTCAACATTCCATTCCACTAGTGGCAAGTCAGATGTCTTACAGAAACTGAAAAGCAGGGTTTTATGGAGACAGCTACTTCCAGATCCTCCCCAGGATCCCCCAGTCAAGTAAGTTTTTGATTATTTGATTTAGTTTTAGTTATTATAGCTATAGTCCTGTTTTCTAAGAAAATACCTAATCCTCATGCATTATCTTTATTATCCAGTCCTTTCAAATGGAGAATCAGCGCAATGCAAAGTATCATGACAGCAAATGTTTGGCAGGGCAGGATACATACAAATGAAAAGACCAGTAAGATTCCATTAGTTGGTATGCGATTATGTGCAACTAAGGAGGTCTATTCGATCTATTGTACCACCACATATGGGTCAAATTACATTTGACATTATGTTCTACTCAAAATCAGCCAACCTATCTACACTGCCGCCATTTTAGTGTCAACGTACAAGTTTCTCAGGAGCAGTTAAGAATAGAAATGGAGACAAGCCTAGAATGGCATTAAAAATTCCATTTCCTTTAGGTATGCTACTTCTCAGACACTGTAAATATTGATCCTATCTGGTGCTTATGGATTGTGTTTTGTCAGTGGTAGCATAATTTAACTTTTTTTAAAATAACTGTACATCAGATGTGGTTTCTTAGTGAGCTCACCAGGAAAGCATTGTACTGATATTGTCCTGTATTACACAATTCTATCTGTGGACCTAAAAGAACCATCCACTAATTAATAACAAACCTTAAATGCCTTCTGGGGCAGCAGGGGGTGTGGAAACAGATGAACATTTAGAATATTTGTTTCAGCACTTTGGGCAAAGAGCCCTGTAAGTTTCCTATCCAATGAATACTAATTCACCCTGTGGTTAGCGGCCACCTACCTAACACATATCCGGCCACCCGCAGTTTTGTCCAGCTGTGTAAATTATACTGAAATCAACCTGTTAAGGCAGCTGGAAATGGAATCTGGATAATGATGAAGGTTGTGTGAAAAATAGTTCAACAGCTTTTACACCACTTAATTTTCCTATCTTTATCAAATGAAACTGCAAAATAAATCTGCTACTTAAAAGCAGATTTGATTATGTGAGGTAGGACACTGAATAAAAGTATGTGATATGCAATTATACTGAATCTACAAGTTAGATCTACCACAGAGATAATTATTGGGAAAACTTTAGAAAGCACTTTAAAACCTCAGCCTGTTAAAAGGGCCAACATACAAGAGTTCAATGTGAAGTTTTTTGTCTCTATACTGACAGCCAATGTGATATAGTGTCTAGAGAGTCAGAATTACATTAGTTAGACTTACATGTCTCAAATTCATTTCCTTGATCAGCTATGATTCTTATTGTGTGAACATGGGATAGTCACTGATCCCTAAATCTAATCTTCTTCACAAGGTTGATAAAGAATGGTAAGAAGGAATCACATATGTTACCATGAGCTCCTTGGAAGAACAAGAGTATCACTATTTCAGTTTGAATCATTCCTTAGTTAATAGATAAAATAAAATATAAGCAATAAACATGATCTGAAGGAGAAATAGTTGCAACACATTTTAGCTTCTTTTTCCTCACTTGAGCTAACCCCTTCTACAAGGGGGGAGATGAGGAGACGTGATGTGTTCAGAGCTGCCCACTGGATTTCTGGTATAATCAAGCTTGAACTCAACCATCAAAGTTCAACATGAATTCCCTATCCACTGTGCTGTCCTGGCTTCCATCAAAGGACTTGTGCTGATGTTTGTGGACAGACTTGCAAAAGGAGCCAAACAACAGAAATGGAAGCCAGAATGTGCAAATAAAGAAAAAAAAATGAAACTGTTGAATTATTACTTGCAAAATGGGCAATTATTTACATGCCTGTAAATAATTCCAAGCTGTATATAAATAAATAATATTTAATTCTAATAGCCTGTACTATGACTATACATAGCTGGCTGCCCATCAAGCCTCAAAGACTTTTGAAAATCTTGAACCTGGAGCTTGTAAGATGTCAGGGAAAAGATGCAGTCTATCTGGTGATATCAATGTCCAACCAAAGCAGGAAACTACAGGGTGACGCAGCAAACCAGATAAGAAGCTTTCTGAATCATATTTGTTCTGCAGC